ATTGTGGGACCCCAAAAAGGAAAGAGATCATCAGAAGTAGAGATATGATCTTCAGAGAATATGTGGTCAGGATTGATAATGATCAATCAACAAAGACCAAAAATAATAATGGTACAGTTACTCACTTTGTTACTGCTCCTACTATATTTGTACGTAATCCTTTCACAAGTGAAAAATGACACACGGAAGGCGTAGATGAAGAGGTTGCTGAGCAGAGGGAGCACCCTAGCCCACAAGAGGAAGAAGAAGAGCAATAATAAAAAGACAACCTTTGAGAATATCTGAAAGAGAGAAGGTAGAGTCCACGAGATATCCTTTTTCAGAGTATATCCTCATGATGAGGGGGAGCCAGAGAATTTCAAGGAGGTTCTATCTCACCCGGAACAAATTGAGTGGATGGAAGCCATGCAAGAAGAGACGAATTCTCTATAGAAGAATGGCACGTACGAACTGGTTGAACTTCCAAAAGGCAAAAAACCGCTCAAGTGCAAGTGAGTCTTTAAGCTCAGTAGCGATAGAAACTGCAAGTTGGTCAGATACATAGCTCGATTGGTGGTAAAAGTTTTCGAACAGAAGAAGGGTATTCACTTTGATGAAATTTTCTCACTTGTTGTCAAAATGACTTCTATTCGAACAATCTTGAGCGTGGCAGCTAGCATGGATCTTGAAGTGGAGCAGTTGGATGTGAAAACTGCGTTTCTGCATGGATATTTGGAAGAAGAAATCTATATGGAGCAGCCAGAAGGTTTTGAAGTAAAGGAAAAGAAAGTCTTTATGGGCTGAAACAAGCGCCAAGGTAGTGGTGCAAGAAGTTTGACACATTCATGGGAAGTCAAATGTACACAAAGACTTTTTCAGATTCGTGTGTATTCTATAGGAAATTCTCTAAAAATAACTTTATCATCTTGTTGTTATATGTGGATGACATGATGATTGTAGAACAAGACAAGAAGTTGATTGCCAAGTTGAAGAATAATTTGTCCAAGTCTTTTGACATGAAAGATTTGAGTCCAGCACGACAAATTGTAGGAATGGAGATTATCTGAGATAGGACAAATCAAAAGTTATTGCTGTCACAAACGAAGTACATTGAACGTGTGCTTAAACGCTTCAACAGGATGAGTGCTAAACCAATTAGCACGCCTGTTGCTGGTCATATGAAGTTGAGCAAGAAAAAATTTCCTACAACAAAGGAAGATAAAGAAAGCATGGATAAAATTCCATATTCCTCTGCCGTCGGGAGCTTAATGTATGCAATGGTATGTACTAGACCTGATATTGCTCATGATGTCGGTGTTGTTAGCAGGTTTCTTGACAATCCCAGGAAAGAACATTGGAAAGCTGTGAAGTGGATACTCAGGTATCTAAAAGGAACCTCAGATGAATGCTTGTGTTTTGGAGGATCTGATCCAATCTTCAAGGGCTATACAGACGTTGATATTGCAGGTAACATTGATAATAGAAAATCCACTACTGTATATTTGTTTACATTTTCAATGGGAGCTATATCATGGCAGTCGAGGTTGCAGAAGTGTGTCGCACTCTCTACAACTGAAGCAGAGTATATTGCGACTACTGAAGCTGGCAAAGAGATGGTATGGCTCAAACGGTTTCCTTCAAGAGCTTGGATTGCATCGGAAGGAGTATGTCGTCTATTGTGACAGNTACAATTGAAGTAGAGTACATTGCCGCTACTGAAGCTAGTAAGGAGATGATATGGCTTAAACGGTTCCTTCAAGAGCTTGACTTGCATCAGAAGGAGTATGTTATCTATTGTGATAGTCAAAGTGCAATAGACTCGAGCAAGAACTCTATGTACCATGCAAGAACAAAGCATATTGATGTGATATATTATTAGATTCGTGAGCAAGTAGAGAACAAATCTTTGCAGGTCAGGAAGATTCACACAAGTGAAAATCCTGCGGATATATTGACCAAGGTAATACCAAGAGACAAGTTCGAGCTATGCAAAGAACTTGTTGGCATGAACTCCATATGAAAAACTGGAGATACCTCCTTCAGGTGCATGAGACTAGAGAGGGAGATTGTGGAGTTCATCCCATGAATGTGAAAGGAAGACAAACTTCCTTTAGCATAAAGTACCATGCTGCCAAATCTACCGGAAATGTGATTTGGGTTGTCGGATTTTTCATTGCTTTCACAAGGTGAAGCTTTGACATTTACATTATGATGATGTCATCGATGATGCAAGCAAGGAGTATTGGACGTCTAAAAGAATAGCTCATGACTCAGTTGAAAACACACCAAATGGAGAGAAAGAGAGTGGTTTACAGAGTAAGAAGCAAGGTACTCTATAAGGAAAAATATAAAAAGTTTGAGCGGTATTTGTAGTGAGGTGAAAAAATCAAAAGAGGATTGTGTATTGGTATTGGAGTATTTTGTTCGGTGCCACAAATTGTAAAATCTTTACTATAGTGAAATCAATTGCTCCTCTCGAGTTTCCCTTATTCAGAAGGATTTTTCCTGTAAAAATCTCAGTACCCTTGTTTCTTTTATTATGACCGTTAATTACTGTATTTTAGTAATCCGCATTTATTACAATCGTATACCGTGAATATTATTCCCGTGGGGGTTAATTTTCCCAACAAAAGTTCCTTATTCCAGAAGAGAGTGGCTACTTGGAAGTCCAATATCATCCGTCGGGGGCAGATATAACTTTGTGTAGGACGAGGAGCGCCTCCGACAGATATTTTACACAGTTACCATTTGCAATTGCATAATAGTTTCGACAAAAAGAAATAACAGATGGCTTTGAAGACAAATACACAGCTAATTTTTTTATTGGATCTAAACTTTTACATATTTTGAACTCCTGGTGTAATCTGCAACTAGAAAACTATGTTAATATTTTTGTAGATTTGTTATAACCTCTTCAATCATAGGGAATAGGGAAGTTCTACTCTGATGTACATGATTATTGGGACCTTATTGATCCATCTAATGAAATATCTTTTACTTATCTGTTGGGTAGCCATCAATTTATACCATGTCCTTTTTCCTCTGCCTTTTGAGGTAGAGAAGCAATTAGAATAGAAGGATTTTCTTTGAAGAGGAAATAATCAACAAAAAGAAAATATTTGAAGGGAACATTGTTGTGATGCAACCCTGAAAAGAGGGTAGCCTAAGCAATTTGAGGGTGCAGAAGAAAAGCCCTTGGCCAAGGAGCTACAATCAAGAGGAAGATTTACCAAGGAGAAGGGTCATGATGCAAATTTTAGGGAGAACGGTAGTAGCGTACTGAAAAAACTTACTCATCCCGATATTTACACCAAAACATATTAATTCACCATAATTAAGTCATAAACTAAGGTAAAAATATATATTAATTAACTACAATTTAGTGATAAGAGTATATTTTGAAGACATGGCTTATGTATTTATTGGGTTGGTGTAAACACTGAATACGAGTAAATTTTTACATGGCGTACTAGGTATTTATCTTATTCTCACGGATATGGGCCCGGAAAACACATAACTTTGCAGGTGAAGTTCCACATCATTAATCCATTAAGGAGGGAGATGGAACGAAAATTAGATTCAGGTCTTAGGACATATGCATGGATTAGGCATACACACCCCTGAGGGAAACATATTCAAATCTTTTTGGTTTTGCTGCTAATTCTGATGCGACCATCCAAAAATATTGAAGGAAATAGCTCTCAAAATATTCAGAATGCGGAAAGCAAGACTTAGATAGTTTGAGCATATAAAAAGGAGCGCAAATGCCCGGGTAAAAAGGTGCGAGAGATTAACCTTGGTGGATTTAATGAGAGGCAGGAGCAAGCCGAAGAAGTATTGGGGAGAGGTGATCAGGCAAAATATGACGTTGCTTCAGCTTACCGAAGGCATGACCCTTGATAGAAAGGTGTGGAGGTCAATAATCTATCTATAAATAAAAGCAGAAGACAAAAGCACCTCATGAAGTCAAATGACAGAAGAATAGAATGACACATGGCATGTTACGACATTGCTCCTAAATATTAGGAAGTAGAATTCAAACCATTCATGAGAAAACCATAAACACTTCTGTGCAGTTTTGTTAAAAGGAAAGAAGTCAGCCCTAATATTTAGCCAAGTGTTGCGTGCACAAAATGCCATGTGGCAACTTTAGGACAAATTAGTTATTTTAGGTAAAAATTAGTTTCTCTTTTTAAACAAACTTTAGCATAGCAAATCTTGGATTTTGTAAAATTGAAAACAAAATCCACCAATTTATCCTAAAAAATATCCACATATTAGAAAATAAAATTCATTCTTTTACTTTTTTTATTGTATAGATAACAATCAGAAATTCAGTCTTTGAACTGAAAAGTCTTTTAAATAATTAAAGGAAATAGCAAAAAATTCAACAAAGCACTGTATCACAAAAAGAAAAAATTTCAGCCCAAATTCTCAAAGCAATAATTAAAAGCAGAAGACTTGCACCTCATGAAGCCAAATGACAGAACAATAGAATGACACATGGCATGTTAAGACATTGCTCCTAAATATTAAGAAGTAGAATTCAAACCATTCATGAGAAAACCGTAAACACTTCTGTGCAGTTTTGTTAAAAGGAAAGAAGTCAGCCCTAATATTTAGCCAAGTGTTGCGTGCACAAAATGCCATGTGGCAACTTTAGGACAAATTAGTTATTTTAGGTAAAAATTAATTTCTCTTTTTAAACAAACTTTAGCATAGCAAATCTCGGATTTTGTAAAACTGAAAACAAAATCCACCAATTTATCCTAAAAAATATCCACATATTAGAAAATAAAATTTATTTTTTTACTTTTTTTATTGTATAGATAACAATCAGAAATTCAGTCTTTGAACTAAAAGTCTTTTAAATAATTAAAGGAAATAGCAAAAAATTTAACAAAGCACTGTATCACAAAAAGAAAAAATTTCAGCCCAAATTCTCAAAGCACATAAAAAAGAGAACCAAAAAATAAAATAGCAATACAACTGACTAGAATTGAAAAACTACCTTACATATTACTATATATTAAAGAAAGTAGTCTTTGAAGAAACGACAATGAAGAACGCCATTCCCATGCCAGTTTACCCTAAAAATATCAATCCTCCAAATTCGGCGCTTCAATCCCACGATCTCTCACGCTTTCAACTCCTCGCCCACGAATTCTTCTATATTGGATTTCAGTCCTATATTGGCGCTTCAATCCCACTATCTCTCCCACGATTTCATCTCCTCACCCACGATTTCTTCTGCCTCGGATTCTCAGTACCATGATTTCACAGTTTTGTCAAATTAGTTTTTTACTTTTACAGCATATAGTTCTATTTTTTCTCCCTTATGTGCGTATGAAACAACAACTATAGACTACAAGAGGTGATTGGTATGATTTATGTTTCATGAACAATTTTATTCCAATTGAGATTGTATTGATAATGTCTGTGAAGTTTGTTGACGGCGTTTGTTATATAAAAAAACCCGGTATCTATGGCAGCTATTGTTTACCAATCTTGGGGTTTACCACAGATTCTTGCTCATGTGCCGTCGTTGCATTTCACATGCATTTTTTGGAGAATTATCAGCCACAAGTCAATTATTTCAGATGATCTATTGCTTCATATGTATTTCTATAAGCATTTTGTTGGAGTTTCTACTTATATTTATAAATACCTCTATCTATTTCAGGACTTACTGGTGGCTGAAATATATTTGGTTAGTGAAATTAACAGCAAGTCAATGAGTTGGAAATTAAAGGTTCGAATTGTCAGGCTTTGGAAAAATTCGGATCGCAAAGACCTGATAACCCTTTTTCCAATTGAGATTATTCTGATGGATTAAAAGGTATTGTTTTAAACTTTATGATTACGTTCTATTTAGGTCCAACCATGGTATGGATTTCTGCAATCCTGCATGCTGAAGAGGAAAATATGTCCTTAAATATCACATATTAGTTTACTAATTCCTTGGTTACTCTGAGTCTTGCTAACTGTAATCTATTCGATGATGCTTTTCCAGTTGCTTTCAGTAGCTTTTTCTTATTGCAAAACTTAGATTTGAGCGAAAATCCAATTTGCATTCTACCAAAGGGCATAATTTATCTCACGGATGGGCAACACGCCCATAGTCAAATTCCTGCCAAATATTTTACTTTAGTTGTTATAGATACCTAGACAAGAGGGGTTGCTCTGATGGTAAGCAACCTCCACTTCCAACCAAGAGGTTGTGAGTTCGAGTCTCCCCAAGAGCAAGGTGGGAAGTTCTTGGAGGGAAGAATGCCAGAGGTCTATTTGGAAACAGCCTCTCTACCCTAGGGTAGGGGTAAGGTCTGCGTACACACTACCCTACCCAGATCCCACTAAGTGGGATTATACTGGATTGTTGCTGTTGTTATTGTTATAGATACCTAAAAGGTAACTACTTACTTTTGTTGTAGCTAATTAAAGTAATTGTAAAATTGAGGTGTCCTCTATCGAAAATCACAATTTGATTTCTGTCTTTTAAGAATATAATTTTCAGTTTCAGTTAACATTCTGTAATCTCTTTTCTGTCTTTTATGTTTTGTACACTAATTGCTAAGATCATGAAATTTATTAATTCTTTCACGATCTTTATTTATATTGTCTATAATGATTACCAATTTTGCATATATTTCCTTGGTCAATTTTATTGTAGATGTTATTGGCGAAATTATAACCTATGAGGACGTAAAGTCTATCAAACAAAACGATAGCAGTCGTATTATCATGAACATTTAGATACAAGATTATAAGTAAGCTCGCCACAATTTATTAAATTAAGTAAATATTTCAACAATTCTTTATTTTGATTCTTATGCTTAACCTTATAATAATTGTAGAAGCAATAACATTGCTGCAACTCTTTGGGAAGACTTTGTCAGATCAAGTCTGGATGCAAATAAAAATTTAAATGTCTGTGATTACCATGTAGATCTAAAGTGCGTGTTGATAGATAATTATTGAACCACCTAAGTTTTAATATTTGTTTAAATTATGTAACTGATTGTGGCTCACTGGTCTTCTGACTTGGTAAGTATAGGTCTAATATCAGAAAAGGAGAGTTTGTGCAAATACTTCGACGTCTAAGCATTAGGTCCTCTAGAGGAAGAGCAAAATACAGGGGAGCCACGATGCACAAATGTGGACGATAGGAAGCTCAGTTTTTTGCACTTTCTCAGTAAGAAGTAACTAACAACTTATATTACCATAGCTTAGGAATCTCATAATATCAGCGGAATAACTGTTAAAAACTTACTTTATATGTTATCATATTATTATACAGATTTTATAGGACTAATTGACAACGAGATGGAAGCTGTAATGTCTAATGATCATAACTTGAGTCTCCCCCTCCCTTTTCTGTTATGTCGTTTACTCTTTCAATATTGACATGACGATTTTTGGACCAGGACGTACGATAAGACTTGTATAAAGTGCAACAGAAGGGAGGCAATTACTAATTTTGAACTGAGCACATATGAAGGGGAATTAAGTTCAGATGCTGAAAATGGAGGTAGTATATTAAGGCTTTACCACAAATTTTTATTACTTTATAATTTTTTTTTACCCTTTTTAGTTATGTTATTATCATGTTTAACAGTATGTTTTTTCCATCAGTGTGGGGCTGCCTTTGTAATCTATTGAACTAGGGAATAGCCTCATTTATTTTAGCTAATTATCAGAATGATATCACATGACAAATGAAAACTCTAATAACGGAACATTGATAATTTTTATTTTATTAGTTACACATCTTTTAGTAAATTTTTAGGATTTTAATTTCCCTTGGCAAAGTTCCGAATCGATGACTAACATCCGATGGTTGTGCTACAACCGAGCTCTGGTTAGCTGACCTGTAGCACCAGATGTTCTTTTCATTGGTTGCTTATAGGTATGACATAGTAGTTAGAATAAGTATTATTAGTAAATATATAATGGAATTATTTGAATATAAAAATCAAACTGTTATGTGTTAAATTTTCATATTAGTTTCATGGCATAATTCAGAATGTAAACATTTGTTTGGAATAAAGCTGACACATGAGAAGGACTAAAAGAAAAGAAATTTTAGCAAATTCTATATCTCCGGAATACTGTAAAATGCATGTACTCACTTAATCAGTTAAATAAAGATACAATAATTATAAATATAAAGTGTTTAGCAATATAGCTATTTGATACAGAAATATCAAATCCTTTCAAATAGAAATATAGCTATTTGAAAGTGTTTAGCTACTGTATACTTATATTGCTATTTCCCTGGGAATGCTGATGTTTAGAATGTTCACTCAGTTACACAATTTCATGGAAGCATGTATGAATTGTAGTAAAATAAGTGATTAAATATTCATTGACATAATTAAGTTTTACAATACCATTTTACAACAAGTTAAATATTAAAATTATTTTATGAGCAGTACAAAAATGTTTATAGCAGCCATTAGACATAATTTTCCTAACTAAATTTTTTATGCAAAGTTGCATCGTTCTTTCTCCTTATCTTTATCTTCTTAGAAACATATACAAGGATGTTTTGGTTTGCAGAATCAGTTTACTACAATCAAGCGTGGCATTTTATTGTAGCTACTTTGAAACACTTGTGTATAGTCCAGTTCTTGATTTGGACAGGTACTAAAAATACTACTTTTTAATTCTGAACTTATGTGACTTTTAGGTGTCCTTTGTGTTTGTTGTTTTGGCTTGCATCATTACTATTAGTAAGTAAAACAATACAAAAGGGGTTGATTGTGTTGATTTGTAGAAATAACACAAAAATATTTATTGCAGCTATTAGACATACTTCTCCTAATTAACCTTTTTAAGCGAAGTTGTTGTGTACCCTTCATTTAAATACCAAGTTTTTGCCTTCAGCAAGGTTCGAACGTAAAAATCATTTTCTATTTTCCCTCTTTCTACTTTCCCTTCCATTCGTCCACAATTAAAGGATAAGTCTCACGTAAAAGTTCTTTGATAAACCCACGAAGTCAACTGTGTGAATCCGAGGCTACTCTTGGTATTCTGCTTGCACTTTTTTCCGTAGAAAATTTACCAATAATTGGATTTTCCATAAAGCATCTTGATAAAAGAATTGCCATAGGTTGGAGTTGGTGAATCAATTTGATTTAAACTCTCACTGAAACTATAGTTCATTTTCTTTTGTAACAACTTCTTTCATTTTTAGCTTGATTTTTCAGGTCAATTTGCTGTAAATCTTGGTTGCAGATATTGCCGTCTGTATTCTTTTCTCCTTAAACTTTTATCTTTCACTCCGTATTGCACCTATCTCAGGGTGGTGGTCTTTATTTTTAACATTAGGTATGCCATAGTAGGATTCCTACTCTTTTACTTTTCAAGTTTAGACATGATCTCTTCGACTATTTGTTCAAGTTTATGTTATAACTTTCTTTACCCTGACTTCTCCCTCCAAGCTATATCACATTTTACATTTTAGTAGTCTTTTTTCTTTTACTCAATTATATGAAATAATATAATCAGAAATAGGACAATGATTACCATGTTTAAGATATTGCGGTTGTAGCAGTGAATGTTGAATTCTATTAACCAAATAGACGAAGGTGATGTAAATCTTATGTTTTAAATTGGATTGTAAAATGCAGTCTTATATTATTTGTCATTTAATCACGTTTTTTTGCTTTTACAAATTGCAGAGTATTTCTTGCAAACAAGTACTACTCTTTCAGCGGTAATTGATATCCTTGATGAAGAAAAAATTGGAAAGACAATTGCAAAATGTTGGATGATTTACTGGAAAGTCGTCTTCTCCAGAAAATCACATCTATTTTTAAATATCAGATAGGCTCCATATGCCACTAGCAGCTTTTATGGTTACAAAAGTATGGCCAGATTATTGCCTTCAATAGAGCAGACTACAATGAAGTAGTTTTTATCCAATTTAACCCCTGATATTTGAGGTATTTAAAAACTCCATTGATGGTAATTCAAGTAACTTGGTCGATTTATTTGATTAATTAATGTAGAAGTATACTTTAAGTCCTTATGGATTAGTAGGAGTATTTATTTGGTCTCTCTTTAATTTTCTTTTTGTTGTCAGATAGCTTACTAAAAGGAAGTAGCAAGCCGTTGGATATATTAGCAAAGCTAAATGAGTTAGCTGGTTTTTTGCTTTATGAAGAAATTAAACTTTTTTTAGGTTAATTTTTCTTCTTCTGCTGCTGCTAAGTTTTTAATTCATAATGAGGAACAAATATTTTTCCGATCAAAAACAAGACCAAATATTTCACGCTCAGACCCATTTTTAACAAGTCACTTGAGATTGGTAGTCCTTGCCAACAATAATATAGAGATAACTGAATGGAATTCATCTATTTATTTTTTTTAATTGTTTTGATTGTGATCACTAAATTTAATCTGCAATATACATATATCTCTTTTCACTCTTTTTCTTTGAATTGATCCGCGCATCGTGCGGGTACGTATACTAGTTAAGGTAGAAGGCTAGTACGTAGTCAAGAGTGTTTCTTTTACATACCAGTAGTATTAGTGTTAATCTGGTGTGACACTATTGTTAGATTTATAGTTTTACGTATTGTCCCCTTTGCTTGGTTTTCTTGTTATTTAGTTGTTGTTAATGCTTGTGCTACTGCTTTATTGTCATCTTGCCTTGAACACAACCTCTCTCTATCTTCCAGGTAGGGGTAAGGTGTGGGATTATACTAGGATTGTTGATATTTGACAGGAGCAGTAACTTGAAGTCTAACTAGGCTAATCAGCGAAAAGGAACACAGCATAGGCTAAAAAAGAAAAGTGACGTATAATATATACCGAAGGAGAGAAAATTAGAGAAATGCATGGCCTGGAAGGAATACTTTGATATTTAGGCAGTAGAATTCCCCATAACTCCTAACTTCTTGCTGGAAAGAAAGCAAAGAGAAAAGAAAGCAAAGAAGTCAAGTACACCAATGGGAATCATAATTCAAGAAGCTCTCTTCTTGCTATCTTATATCTACATTCATCGTTTTATTTGAAACAAAAGAAGTCGGCGATGCTTTGAAGGAAGTATAACTTCCCTATGCTGCTTTAACCAATTCTTTCCAAAAGCATACATAACCACAATCTTACAGCCACAGGCAAACTGATATTCTACACCTTACTTAAGCTGCTCAAATAGCACCAATGCGAATAACACAACTAAAAAGCAGCAACTTCAAAACTAATTCAACAGGCAACAAGGTCAATATATTTTTACTCACTTTGCAAGGAAAAAAGAAAAGTCTATCACCTAAATCAAGAGTCTAAATTTTTTATTTATTTATTTTTGACAGGTGATCTGGAACATTAAGCTTCGAGCAGAAAATAAGTTTCCAGGTATTGAAACTACTTTTAAGCAAATAACCCCCTAGTTAAATGGACCTCTTTGCAACACAAGGTCGTCATATAACTATTTAAAAAGGGGTTGGGATGTAGATTTTTCCTTTTGGCACATGTGCAGGAACAGTGGATCATTTGTTTTGTGTAGGAATACATGATAATATGCAAGCTAAACATTAATCATCAAAGATTAGAGGTTTGGATACTTGGATCAATTCAACCTTCTAAGATATCACCTAATCTAAAAGAATATATCAGGGAACCATAGAGCAACACCACCACCACCAACACAGTATAATCCCACTAGTAAGGTCTGGGGAAGTGTGTATGCAGACCTTACTCCTATCCTGGGGTAGAGAGGCTGTTTCCAAATAGACCCTCGGCATCCTTCCCTCCAAAAACTTCCCACCTTGCTCTTGGGGTGACTCGAACTCAAAACCTCTTGGTTGGAAGTGGAGGTTGCTTACTATCAGAGCAACCCTCTTGTTCAGGGAACTATAGAGGATTGACCCAAAATAAGAAGTTTCGTATCTGTAGAATATCTACAGGCCCACTGGGATAGAAAGATGAATCTTTTTTTTTTCATTAGTCCAAAGTTGTCTCAATATTAAATACTAAAGACTCGGGGGTCTAGCCTAGGTTACTAGGGAGAGATCTAAGGCTAACAAGCATTCCTCATTCACCTGAGGAAAACACTACTGAGTTCCCTTGAGAGAGCCAAAGAGAGATCATCTCATACCGTAAGTATATCCTATCCATCATAACTATCCCTCCAATATTTTGACCTCATAGCAGCCAACTATTTAATAACATGACATTCATTTCTTTTTTTGATGAAGTTTTAATAACACGACATTCTACAAGAGTTTACATAGCCATTGGCCAAGCACACCCTTATAATTCATTAGACTACCTCAGAATGAACTACTAAGGATCAACCACAACTGATAACAACTAGGTCGGGAATCCAAATTAGAGTAAGAATTTGAGAAGTAAATGCGGAAGCAATAACAACAAGGAATTAAACAACTAGAATTAAAGAGATGAAAATAAAGGATATGGGAAGAATTCAAGGAAGGAATTCCAAGAACTTCCAAGAACGTAAGTTCTATAGCCTTGACAAGATCAAAATAACAACGTCTTGATTTATGGAACAAAACAAACGCCTTTACTTAAAAAGCAAATCAAAACAATAGATTCGGATCTTGACCACTTTACGAGTAACTTGAGACAACAATTAATAACTAGTATTAATCGCCTTCTAAGAATACCACAAAGGAATCAAAGATATCATAAAAGAGAAGTAATCTTACTACCTTGAACTAAGAACTAGTAAAGGTTGAAAGATAAATCTCAAAGCACAAGTAACAAAGGTTCAAAAGAACTCTCAAAGTATGATATACTTAATCAATAAATGTTGTATCTTATGAATGAGAAGAACTCCCTATTTATAGGAATACTAAGGCATAAAAGTCCTTAAAATTAGGTAGGGTGGTTGCTAAGGCATACAAAGTCATTACAATTAGGTAGGGTGGTTGCTAAAGAGTAAGAAAAGTCATTAAAATTAGGTGGGGGCGGCCAAGACCCTTTGGGGCAGATTTGGGCCTTAAAACAACTAGTTTGGGCCATTGGTTTGGACTCCAATTGGGCTCCTTTTGAAACACCCCCTTTTGGACCTCTTTTAAGGTCATTTTGAGCCCTATTGGTGGACTTCAAGGGCTGATTTGGTAACCCAATCTTCCTCCTCTTGGACTTCAATTTGGACTACCAAATAATTGTAAAACTTGGACAATTCATCTCCTTTGGGCTTGAGCTCTTCCTCTACAATTAAAAGCTTCTTTATTTGCCATTGAAGTCTAGCAACCTTAGCTTGCAACTCTTTAGCTTGAGATCTTGTAAATGGCCTTGGAGCTTCCAAAACTCTATCATCTCTATCATTGTCCTTAACTATATCCTTGTTCTTGATGCTATCATTCCCCCCTTCTTGAAAAGAATTCGTCCTCGAATTCGATCCTACATCAAACAAAGATAAGTCAGCAACATTAAATGTGGCACTTACTTGGAACTCACCAGGAAGGTCCAACTTGTAAGCATTGTCTCCAATCCTTTCAAGGACTTGAAATGGGCCATCTCCTCTAGGATGCAACTTTGACTTCCTTTTGGAAGGAAATCTCTCCTTTCTAAAGTGAACCCAAACTAAATCTCCAGGTTTAAAAATAACTTGCTTTCGTCCCTTATTCTTTCTCAAGGCAGTTTGCTCATTTTTCTTCTCAATTGCAAGCCTTGTTTGTTCATGAATTTTTTTCATCATCTCAGCCTTTGTCCTACCATCAAGATTAGCAATATCATTAGTTTGTAATGGTAATAAATCAAGGGGAGTGAAGGGATTAAAACCATAAACAACCTCAAAAGGAGATATACCTGTAGAAGAATGGATTGTTCTATTGTAAGCAAATTCAATCATAGGTAAGTGATCTTCCCATGAAGTTAATTTACCTTTCAAAACAGCCCTCAACATGTTTCCTAAGGTTCTATTAACTACTTCAGTTTGTCCATCAGTTTGTGGGTGACAAGAAGTAGAAAACAACAATTTAGTACCTAACTTCCCCCAAAAAACACGCCAAAAGTGGCTCAAAAACTTAGCATCCCTATCACTAACAATAGTTCTAGGTATACCATGAAATTTGACAACCTCTTTTACAAAAAGACCAGCAACATGTGAGGCATCATTAGTCTTTAAACAAGGAATAAAGTGAGCCATTTTGGAGAACCTATCTACCACAACAAAAATACTATCCTTACCATATCTTGTTCTAGGCAAACCTAACACAAAATCCATGGAAATATCAATCCAAGGCGAAGTAGGAACAGGTAATGGCGTGTAAAGACCATGTGGTAACACTTTAGATTTAGCTTGTTTACATTCCAAACACTGTGCGCACATTCTTTCAACATCTTTTCTCATTCCAGGCCAAAAGAAATTTTCGGCCAGTATGTCTAGTGTCTTTGGGACTCCAAAGTGTCCCATAAGCCCTCCACAATGTGCTTCCCTTACAAATACTTCACGTAAAGAGCAATTAGGAATACACAACTTATTTTCCTTAAAGAGAAAGCCATCTTGGAGGTTAAACCTCTCAAAAGGACTCAACTTACAATCTGCAAAAATTTTGCCAAAATCAACATCATTAGCATAAAGTCCCTTGATTTGATCAAAACCCATTAATTTAGAAGTCAGGGTAGAAACTAAGACATACCTCCTTGAAAGTGCATCAGCAACAACATTTTCTTTCCCTTGTTTGTAAGAAATTACATAAGGAAACGTTTCAATGAATTCAACCCACTTAGCATGCCTTCTACTAAGCTTACCTTGACTCTTCAAGTATTTCAAGGATTCATGATCAGTTTTAATGACAAACTCTCTTGGTCACAAGTAATGTTGCCATGTGGTTAAAGCCCTTACCAAAGCATATAGCTCTATGTCATAAGTAGAATAGTTCAATATGGCTCCACTTAACTTTTCACTAAAGTAGGCAATAGGTTTAGAATCTTGCATCAAAATAGCACCTATTCCTTTGTCCGAAGCATCACATTCAATTTCAAAAGATTTAGAAAAATCAGGCAATTGTAACAATGGAGCAGAACATAACTTTTCTTTCAACAAGTTAAAAGCATCATCTTGTTCTTTTCCCCATTTAAAAATCTTATCCTTTTTAATAACTTCAGTTAAAGGAG